AAGTTATTTCTCCTTGTTCACTAATGTATAAAGCACGTGGACTAAACGCTTTCAATGTCCACAATAATGAACAATATTAAGGCGATTTTCACGATCCATACTCGATAGAAGTTACAGGAATACAAAGTTAATCGGAAAACGGACACAATATAAATAAACGGACACAATAATAAATATCCCATAATATTATCGGGACGACTGCGATCAAATTTGGCACCACGTGCAAACCACCTGGCCACCTTAACTGTCGTTATTGTTTAAGTACAATATGCGTTGGGCATTGTAAAGAGAAGAAAGTTTTCTCAAGGCAAATCTGTGCTACGCTCTCTTTGCACTTCGTATCAATCTCTCTCTCTCTCTCTTCGTGTATTCATACTCATAAAGTACTCACTTCATTTTGGGTGGAAAGAAAAATCGCGCGCGTTATTGTTTAGCATTTGTTTTTGCTATTACATCCATCGTTCGTTGGACAGACACGACGAGGAAGCAAAGCAGAAGAAACCAAAAACATAGTAAAGGTAGAGAAATAGATACAAAAAGGAAGACCAACAAAAATCCACAATAGATACACAGCAAATTTACTAACAACATACAACGAACGAGCTCTGGCGAACAACGAACGTTTGTTTGCGCTCGTTGGATGGTGGATAGATAGATGGATGTATGGATGGATGAAGAAATGGAATGAATGAACAAAAATGGCTGAGACTCTAAGGTTTTCGTGTGTGGCTGAATGGATGGATGGATAGATGGCTAAACATAAATCGCTTTTTTGGCAAACTCAAAGTTTTGTCCAACTCAGTTGAATTTTTTGGTGGCTGCCGGACTGGTTGCTGTGACGGACCATCATCACATCTCACAACTTAATCTCAGTTGTGCTCAGTATTCGGTAACGGGAACAAGAACGGGAACTCGTCTCATATTGTTGTCTGCTCGCCGCAAGAAAGAGAAGGGAGCCAGCCCTGTGACAACTGCAGCCGACCACCCAACCAACCACCCATCATGTAAAGTGTCTGTTGCAAAGTGAAACGAAATGAAAACTGATTACAAAACTCTCCCAGTGGATACACATTTGATGTTTGTAACCATGACTCGGAGTGTGTCTGTTGTGTGTGATGTGTTGTGACGATGTATCTGAAAAAAGGGATGCGGGATGCTAATGATGTAAATCAAAATGCAATGTTGAAAAGTGTAACAACACCCCGCCACAGCGCGCCACACACACCACACATTACACCAAAGAATGTAACGATAAAAACAAAACAAACTAAAAGTCGGTACCAACAAAAACATTCATGCTAACATATTTAGAGCCACTTAGCTAGCTGGATGTGTACCTGCGTGTGTGTGTTTGTGAGGTGTGTGTACACAAAATATCTTCTTATTCGCCTAATACACTTGTTCTGTTCGTTCGTACGTTCGCACGTTTGGTGTTCAAGTCTGGTCGTTCGGTCGGTCGGCATTTCAACAAAGTGAATTTCTTTTGCCACTGTTTTGACTGATTCGCGGTTTATGTGCTCACTTGTTTGTTCATACCTTGGGGTCTCATGCTCCTCCTGGCCCATACGCTGCTTCCCCTCTTCGATTTCTTGAATATTAAATCATGTGTGTGTGTGTTTTGTTTTCTCTTTATTGCTCGGAGTGTGCGTGAGTCTTCACTTGAATGTGTTAATATTTTTACAGCAAAGACAAATCGAAGAGTCCAGCAAAAAAAGCCGGTATAAACGTCTATCTGTCTGACCGAGTGGCGGTGGTGGACATATCGACATACATACCAACATGCTGCTATATTGTATCAATTAAATATTGACGTTGTTTGTACGTGAGTAAAAACAAAAAACCAAAACCGATGCGTGCTGCGTGAAACGCCAAACTCAGACGACAATAACACAGCCGATATTAAAAACAAGAATTAGTTTACATGGCCATTCGGCATTAACAGTTACAATTTTGTCCCAAACGCTCGTTAACGGCTATGTCCATTGTTATTATTGGTGTCTAAATCGAATTGTAAACAAATTCTACCTTTCCATGTTATTATAATAGCATTCTGAAGAATGCCGGAAACACCATTGTCTTATTTTAAAATATTGAAAAATATAATAAATCATTACTTCTGTCCAAATAATAACTTTTATTCCAATAGCTCTTCAAAATGTTTATGATATCTGGTTTAATCATGTAATAATGTTCTAACTTCTCTCTATGCTAATATGAGAGCTTTGTCAAAACACGGATTCCCTATGAAAACAAATGACTTTTATAACTATAATGGGACGGGAGCTTTATATGTGGGCTATGTCAAAACTTGGACGTGTATTTAACATTTTCTGCATACACCCCTTAGCTATTAAAAAAAATTAATAGTGCCAAATTACAGTCCCTTCAGTGAGAAAATAAATCTTAGAGAAAACAAACAAAATGATCGTGTTTACTTGCCAAAGAGGTCAGCTGAAAATGTGAACCTTCGGTTGGGTGTATTAAAGCCTTGGGCACGCAAACATTTTGGCCGCAAACCGTGGACATACCAAAAGGACCATCCTGAGTGCGATAAAGGACGCGCGACCCAAGAATGGTTACAAAATGAGGTTCCTTGCTTCATTTCCAGCGCACAATGGCCACCAACACCTCCTAATACCAATCCGTTGACCTATTGTGTCTGGAGTATTTTGGAAAGCAAGGTTGACACTAAAAAATACCAAAGTGTCGATCACCTCAAGCAAGCGCGTATTCTAAAATTTGACGCTATTTCCGACATTTTTGCTTTCATTCAATAAAATTTAAAAAAAAAATGTAAAAATTACGGCGCTTGACTTTGTTGCAGTTTTTTTTATCTCACCCTGTATATTCAATTTAAATATTAATATTTGCAAAGTTTGGTCCAGGCCCAAAAACATTATGTGCGAAAACGAAAGGCCCAGTAGAGTTATTACTATTTGAGTCCTTTATTTTGAAATTGGCTTACGTCCATTTTAAGTTCTGGTACAAATACAGTCGACGCCCGGTATAACAAATTCTCAGTTTAACGAATGAGCAAAATAGACGACTTTTTACAATGACTATCGCATATAACGAAAGTTTTCCAAATTTATATACTGGGTATAACGAATGGCGTAGAAAATAATGGGCAAGCCTTATAAAAAACATATATAAACACGTTATTATTTCTGTTATTACGTTAATTAATTCATTTTTTATTAGAAATCCAATGAAAGGTGGATTAACATTTTTGTTTTTTAATAAAATGGCACCATATAAAACTTCGCGATATAACGAATTTTTCGCTATAACGAATGGGCCTGACAATATAACATTCGTTATACCGGGCGTCGACTGTATTGATTTTCTAGAAAAGTTTACAAAATGTATTGTGTTATATATTCTATGTTTTACTTAACAATATTTTTGAAACAAATTAAACCCAAATCTTTAAATATATCACAATAAAAAATGGACATAAACCACTTTCAAATAAACTATTCATTTGCATATTTTAGGAACCTGATACTGTAGACCAATAGTTTTCATATTTGAATATTTGGTAATATCTAAATTACCTGAAACGGATTTATTCCAAAGACATAATATGTCTTTGGAACAAATCCGGTGCTTAAAATCCATATTTCGAAAAAGTATTTTTTAAAGTGGATACAACACAATAGTCCTTAAGAAGTCTTATCACAAAAAAATTAATAGGATTTTCCCATTAATTACTTAGGAGCTGGGTTTCAACACAGGTTTTCTACATATTCAAAAATTTAAGAAATTATTTTTTTCCTAATTTTCGATGAGTATTATTTTATTAATGATTTTTTTTTTCAACCTGACGTTTTAAACCCTCTTCAAAATCTTAATAAAAAATCGGTACATCTTCCCCGGCCTTCGAAAGTATAGAAACTATATTCTATATATTATTAAATGATAATTCGATATTTTCCACCATAACATTTTTCCAACTTAACGCCAGTGGTCTCCAACTGCAACTTCAATCGATATACCCCACACAAATCTATATTGCACTTGTTTAGTAATTGTAAGATTTTAATTTTCGATAATGGAATAATGCAGTTAACTTTATGAAATGCTGCTAAGACATAATTCGTGAGCTAACTGTTAAAGACTCTGGCAGTGTCGGTACGGCAAAGTTTTATTTCCCACTTCAGTGTCGAGTGTTGTTTATGCCATTATCGTTGCTGCCTCGTCTGCTGCGGCTGCTGCTGCTGCTGATGGTAAAATAATGACTTTTGACATCATTTTTCTTCGTTTGTGTCAGTTTTACAACTTAATTATGACTTTTGTTGAGTTGAGCGTTGCGTTTGGGCTTCTTTTTCAACTCTTTACCTCTCTACCATCTCCCTGGGCCAGCAGTTCGTTCGCTCTATTTAACCTCTTCAATCAGTCATTCACATGCTTTGCCCTGTTTCTTGGTAAGAAAGTTGGTTGGCTGGTTGGTCTTTTCTTTCCACTTTATTTGAAGTTTTTTTTTCTTTTTGTGTGTGAGAATGAATAAAGAAGAAGAAGAAGGAGAAGAAAGAAACGTCTTAGACCTATTCAATGACTTTGAAGTGAATGAACGAATGAGTGAATGAATGAATTTTAAGAGGACATTAGATGATTTTTTATTGAATACAATTTTATGCTTGACATTTTATGAATAGAAATTTAGGGTATAGATCTATTGTCGTGGGAATCTTTAAATTGTTAAGTGATGTGGTTCTTTGGTAAAAACAAAACATATTGGAGATTTCCCACATTTCTTAGGATTTAGTTTTATTATTTTCCACCCCTATATACCTCCTACTTATAGATCGATTTCCTTCTTATTTTAGGCAGTTCCATTTTTAATTTATGCTTTCGTCATAAATTCGAACGCCATTTGTTGGCTCGTGCAATTTCAAAAGAGGCTCTAGTACATAACATTATGCAATTATTAGCTGAATCTACAACAAAATCAACGGCAATCACAGCAACAAATCTTAGTTCGGAACACACCGCAGCAACAACAACACACATCAATATGAATAAATTCTATCCGCCAAAACCGAAAATAAATGCATTCAACGATTTGTTCCAGTGTTATCTGTGCCAAGGCTATCTAATAAATCCCACAACCATAGATGCCTGTTTACATACCTGTAAGTATTCCACGGTAGGATAAGATCTCTCTGACCGAATTGATGACGTAATAACATAATTTCGATTTCCGATTAGATTGTCGTAGTTGTATTGTAAGACATTTGGCCGAAGATTACTATTGTCCCCGCTGCAAGGGGAATGGAGGCAAAACAGTAACACATTCAAATCTGAAGTAGGTTCTTTGCATAATTCCAAAATAATATTCTACGCAACGATATTAAATGCCAAAATTCTCCTTGTCTTTTTGTTTCTCCTATTCTCTTCACCCATAAAGATCGGATAATGTTCTGCGTTCAATCATCTACAAATTGGTACCTGGTTTATATCAAAAAGAACGTGAACGCGTAGTGCAATTTGTAAATAATGCCAAAAATGAGGGATCAACATCCGCGGATACCCTCAACGCTCTGTTGGAGAGTGACGATGACTTTTATACAGCCCGAGATTCCATCAGTTTATCATTGGAATTTCATCCACATTTGGCCGAACAATGCGACGTAGCGGATGTACCTCCCGTGAGGTATCTCAAGTGTCTGGCCAGCTTAAAGATACATCATTTGAAACGATTTTTATGTTCCAAATTCGACATTGACCCGAGTAATAGGAAGGTCGACATTGAAATCATCTACGAGGATGAAGTTTTGCCCAGTGATTTTACTCTCATGGATGTGGCCTATTGTTATCAATATAAAGGGGTAAGTGAAGTGAAAAAATAAATCAATGTTCTATAAAGAAGTACAATTCCAATAGTTATTTATTTTAATTCAATACAAAAATACATACATACAATAATATATTAAAAAAAATTGATACATGCGTATATAAATTTTGATAAGTTCTGAAAAGTAATTGAACAATCTCTGAAAATATGTTTAATTGACATAAAAATATAAAATTGTTTTTGACTTATTCGATTTAATTCACTCTACAAAATTTCAAGTATCTCAAGAACTCTTGATAGCCGATTTATTGTGTCAAAGTGACGGCTAAAGGGCTTCTCAAAGTTTAAACGCGTTTTTCTCTAAACATTTTCACGATAACAAAACATATATAAATTTTTATTTTTCGTATGAACTAGGATAAAGCCAATCTGAAAAGTTTGTTTTTTGGTCATAAATGAAAAATATTTTTTCAAAGGTCCGCCATTTTTTAATTTTAGAGCGAAGTCATTAATCCTATCTACTGTAAATTGTTTTCGCTGTTCCAAGGAGTTGACAAAAATTAAGCAATAACAACAATTTTTTGTAAATTATTTTTCTTCTCTTTTAAATCTTCATATATATGTGCAAAGTTAAAACCTTAATTTAAAATTGTTAAAATCAGAATTCAATTTCAAATTGCCAATTTATTATAACATCTCCCCAAAAACGATATGTTTCTTATACAATACCACCTCTTTTGTCATATGCATTCCATTCACAGCAAGCACCCCTTAAGTTATACTACCGAATTTTAATATATCCCGAGGAGCATTTCAAAACTCCTGAAATTGATAATCAAAGTGGAATAAAAACAAATGAATTGTCCACCAACCACACAAGTAGTGAGTCGAAGAAGTCGACTAAAGATGAAACAGCATTCCTTACACCATCTCCGGTTACAACCAAATTGAAAACATCTAAAACACCCGCCTCAAAACACCAATCAACGGATCAATCCGTAAAGATGACCATCTCATCCAAGCCCACTGAATCTGCAAAGAAATCGGTTTCAAAAAGATCTTCCCTGGTGGAAGACTTTACCATACCCACCACTACCACCAATGATTTCAAGTCATTACGAAGTAATGATATTCGTTACAGTCAATTTGGAGTACCGCCCACTCCTCCTACCACTCCCACAACCCTCGTCGGCAATAACAGCACTTCGTCGAAAACGAAAGTGAAATCGACAGCCAGTGTTGTAATCAAGGAGGAGAAACCCCCCAAATGTGATATTGTCGTTAGCATTCCGCACAATCAAATGCAGGATGAATGGGACACCAAACCGTTGTCACAGCTGAAGACGGCCTGCAAAAAGTCGCCACCGACTAGCAACGCCAGTGATGACACCACAACGCCATCTTCTGCGTCCTCGAAAAAAGTCCGAAATGTACCCAAGCTAAAAATTGAATTGAACAGCTTGAAGACAAAGCTAATCGAGAAACCCAAATCGGCTGATATTCGCCTGGACACCTTAATGTTGAAACAACACAAACCTCGAAAGTTTTCTTTGGACGAACCACAGCTGAGCAATGACAAGGTGGACTTGGAGACATATGTCAAAAATATCGGCTTAAAGCCCATTGAAGTTCAAACATCCATCCACACTGCTCCGGCTGAAATGGAAACAGCCGGTAAATTCACACCAAATGCCTCGCCCAGATCTTCATGTTCCTCTTCGACCACCTCTTCGTCGAATGGCTATTTACACGTGTCAGGCACTGAGCATAGCAAGTCGTCGCACAAGAAACGCAAGAAGAAACACTCAAAGGAGTCAAAGGATTCGAAGCGTAGCAAGAAGATGCATGCGGAGATCTCATCACAAATGGCCGACGAGAGTCTTAAAATGAAGGTGAAACTCACCACTCCATTGAGCATTAAACCTTCGAAATTGGAAAGCAAGAAATCACCACACAACGATAAGATTTCAACGGACCACTTCAGTTTCGATAAGCCTCACAAATCCGCAGAAAATAAAACTAAACTTGTCTATGACAATTCAAAGGTCGTAGATGTGGAGAAATCCTACTCAGTTAAGGATAAGTTCCAATTCCCCTCGGAGAAGAAATCTGCTGTAGATTCTTCTTCTTCGTCTGCACAAAAACTTAAGCCCTTGGCCATTAAAACTACTGCCAAGGATTTCGAAGATGACGATGACATCAGCATGCCCGACATAGCCACAGCTCTGTCGCTCAGCAAACCTTTAGCAAATATCAAAGACTCCAAATTACCTCATTCACCACCTTTGCCTCCTAGTCTTTTCAAAACCACCCCTCTAACATTCTCCACCTTTACTCCCAACGTTAGTACCGTGGCCAACAAGACCAAGCCCGTGGTAACCGCTGCCAAACAAATCAAAGATAAACCTGTAGTACAGCCCATAAAAATGAAACCCCTGGCTCCGAAACCTATGCCACCCACCACAAAGCCGCCCAACAGCACACCCATTAAACCGCCACAATTTGCAGTTCCTAATCTACCGCGTTTAATGGCTTCAAACTCGTCAAAGTTCCTTACCTCTACACCCTCGTCCATAGCCAGCTCGGCCAATAAGCATATGGGAAATTTACTCAAACGTTCAGCGTCGATGGATGAAGGAAAATCCGCAAAACAAAGCAAACTGGATAAACCACATCAGATTACGGTCAGTGCCTATGGCAGTAATTTACAGGTGACCAAAGTAGAAGTGCCCGCCACCCCGACTTCATCCACAGCAAAAGCCACGTACGAAATACCCCTCTACTCGCCGCTTTCAGCGTCATACAATCCGAAATGTTCATTTACTGTTGGTTCCACCACATCGGGTAATAGAACTAATTTACCAAGTTCACCCAGTGGATCCATGGCCCCTAACTGTAAATCTCCAATTTTCACAACAAACACCACATCCCTAAAGAAATCCGAAAAAGAGGTGGCGAAAGTAACTACAGCAACAGCAACAACAACCACAAGCTCGTCAAGTCTCACCACAAACACCAGCCTAATGAGTTTCAGCCTCAATAAAACTCCAACATTAATGGGTCCACCTACAAATCTGCCCAAGTTGAATACCGTTGTACCCACATCTGTAAAATCCCCACCTCTAGGAAGTTTAGTCCATAAACCACTATCTGGCACATCCTCCTTGGGCTTAATAAATGCCAGATCCAATTTGAGCAACTCATCCGCCTTGCAGAGCTGCCCGAAAGCAGAGAGTATCACATCACCTTCAACTAGCACAATTAAAAATGCAAATAGTGGACCTATGGAGAAGCCTACCAGTAGCCTTCGACAATTCCGCTTGCCTTCACGTGAATCAGGCCAAGATATTTTAGATTTGTCGGCAACCCCAAAGACTCCTAATGGCATTCAGAGTGTGGAAAAGAAATCTATTTCGAAACCAACAACACCAACTGTTAGCATTCCTGGCTCTCCCACAATGGTGTCGACTGGTTCGCCACTGGAGATGGCTTTGTCAAAAATTAAGCAGAATATTACCAACAACATTAGTCAGGAAAGTAAATCAAATACTACCACCATTGATTTGAAGCCGAATTCGGAGGATTTGCAAAATCTTCATTTACTGTCGGAGTCGGCAACAGCTCGTGAAAAAATTGCAATCACATCGCCGGGTTCTTCTGCGACGACTTCAACGACATCGGTGTATGAAAAACCGAAAATCAATACAAATTCGTTGGTGCGGCAACAAAATGCCTCAGTGCGCAGTATACCTAATCCTTCTGCGTTGGCATTCCGCAATCACCAGCCTGCAGCCAACAACATACCCATGGTTACCATAGCTGCTCCTCTAATTTCAAGCCTTAGCAATGAAGTCGACAAAACTTTCCTTTCCAAACAACCGACATCGCCTCATTCCCCGCTTAGTTCGCTGCCCCTCGGATCTAACGTTACTACCTCTTCAATTACGCCTCTACGCAATACTATAACGGCCACTTCTCTATCCTCGAAACGTCATCCCTCTATTGACCAGGTTGCTGCCAGTTTAAATATTAGAGCCACAGCAGCAGCCGCTGAAGCTTCGGCTAAATCGAATCTGAAACAATTGGATGACATAACGTCCAAGTCCACATTGGCGGAAATGAATGGCGGAAGCAAACTTAAGCAACAAATCAAACAGGAAGCGGTAGAGCAACCTACAACCACTACAACAGCCGCTGGTCCAGTGATTTTGGCGTCCCCAAAAATTAGTCAGACCTCATCAGCAATGCATTTATCGGAGGTTAGCTCTACGGAGATTGTGGAAATTAAAAAAGAACCCGAAGAAAGATGCAGTGAAGCTTCATCATCGTTGGCGGGGGGCGGAGATGAACAAAGGGAAGTCAAAGCGATTTTCACCGTTAGCAGTAATAATAACAACAACAATAACAACAGCATCAGCTCCAACAATACTCATCAATCGTCAACCCCAACGCCAGCATCCTCGTCTTTGGTGTCGAAGGTAGAAAATCTTGTGACGTCAGTGATTAATGTCTCTACACCCACATCCAGTCTGTTGACCACAAGCAGTGCAGGCTATTGAATTAAATTCTACCAGAGATAGTGGTAGACACACGAGAATTTTCCAAGCAATCTGCTGTCAAATGGAAAAAACAGGTAAGTGAAGGAAAGAGAATAAGAAAGTAATCTTAACAATTTAATGATGAAGGGATTGGAATTTTGTGATTTAAAGGCATATTTTTTTTATTAATTGAAATGAGGAAATATGAAAGTGGGGCTATTTGATATTGGGAATATAAATAATTTTAAAAACGATTGAAATATGTGTTGTAAAATCACCTTCGTAAAATACCGAAAATGTTTATTAGCGTTTGTTTTGAGATATTCTGAGGCTTTTGAAATATAGGGCATTGAGAATTTAAATTCAGAAAAAATTAAGCGGTTCAAAATATATAAAGTCAGAAATATTTAATAATTTGTGGGAGTTTTTGAATCAAAAATATTGGGAATAACACAAATGATATCTTTCGCGTATTGTAGAGTTTGTGTGAAGACCGTCTAAAATGTATCCAATTCTTCGAGGATGAACAAAAAATGCAATTTATCAGGTCTCAAACGATTTTTGTATATTAACGTTTAATGATATGGATATTGAATAATTTGAAATTCAATTATTAATCTCTTTGGCATATTTTATTTTTATTTTTTTCCAGGCATAAATAATTCTCAGTTATGAATATTTGCAATAAAAATATTCTGTAGTTAAAAATAACAAGGCAATGGATGTTGTAATGCGTTATTGAAACTTATACTCAGCTCTACTCTACTCCTATCACCTCTCTCTCACTCACAAATAGTGTAATAGCCCTGTAAAAGTAGATTGAATGTAACCCCTTTTGCACAAAATACCCCCATATATAGCACACACCAGTGAATACACACACACACACACACACACACTGAGATACAGATGCATACACAGTGCCAGTTAAATGTTGTAGATTATTGCACTCTCCATTGCAAAATAAATTCATTGAAGGAGAATCATCGATGAGACGAATACCGTGAGCCATGAGAGAGGGAGATGAAATGGGGGCCGGAAAAAAGTGTTTTCAATTTTAACAAAATTGCAAAATCGCAGACATATTGACATCATGCGATATGCAAATAAATAAACAACAACTGCAACAAAAAATGAAATGAAAAAAAAAACGAAAAAAAGAGCAAAACAAATACACTACAAATGCAAAGTAGACAAAAAGAAGAAACAGAACGGAACAGAAACAAAATAGCACAGAATTTCAAAACAAAACGTCATCGTCGTCATAATAAAACAGCAATGAATGAAGCTGAAGCAGAAGCAAATGACGAACAAGAAAAATAAAACACGAAACCCAAACAGCAAGTGACAATACAAACAATCTCATAATGAGCACACACTCCTCTGCGCTACGTCCCACCCTCTGTCGCAAACTGCGTCCGTGTCTATGCTGCAAAACTAGAACGTGTTGAAATTTTCGTCTACGGAAAACGATGTCATCGTCGTCGTAGTTGGTTGTCGCCGTCATCATCATTGCAATTGTGTGACATGAAAGGAAACGTGTAGTGAATTTGGAATGATGAGAAGAAGCAAGGATATCATCAAAGTATCACGAAGGCGAAGACGAAGACGAAGAAGAGAACGAAGGAAATGTACATCTTTGGCAGAAGGAGACATTGTTGACAGGTAAGTTTTGGAGACTTGTTTTTAACTTTTAACGGAGATAAGGTGAAAATTATTTAACTAAAATTAGAAATATTGTTGATGTTGGGTGTGATGATGATGGCAGCAATTCAATTCGTTTTAAAAGTTAGATTTTTAGGTCTTACATTCGTTGTCAATTTATAACATAACTCTGTGGCGTATTCACACATATCAAACTGCCGTTCAATTTGATTTTTAGGCATCATTTTCCATCCATTTAAACTGAATGTAATTTGGCCCACTTTTTGGGTCCAAAAAATCTGAAATAAACATATTGAAAGTAAGGAAACCAAAAAAAAAAAAAAAAAAAAAAATTGGGCGTAACGTAACCCTATTTGGGAAAATACGTAATTTTTGTACACTTCTGGAAACTAAGTGTTAGTGTTTAGAAACTTGTTAGTTAGGCCTTTTTTCTCGATTAATAAATTTTAGATAAATTCTAATTTTGGTTGACTAGTACATTAAGGGAAGAAATTTTCGTATTGGCAGAGAAATGCCTGAGAATCTCCTCTTCCAGTCCACATATACGCTCCGTTCCGCCTATTAAAGTTTTTTTTTCAATATATTGAAATTACACTTCTGAAAATGTGTGCTTCTCTTCTTGAAATAAAGATAGAAATCGCAATCAATCGAATTTGCGAAATTAGGCTAATAGAGATATCATTGTGTAGAAAATCTTCGTATCAAAATGTAAATGTACATCCCAAGTTTCTATATTTCGTGAAATTTGGCCATGGTTTTTAGTGAAAATGGGTTGTCATTGGTTAGAAAATCTTCCTAACAAAAAGTATCAATATTGACCCATGTTTTTAACCTAAACTGGCCCAGTTTTCCCACCCGATTGCCTGCAATTTGGTATTTAATTTTCTCACAATTTAAAACACTTACTAGCAGACAATTTACAATGACATAGTCCCCATATAATGGCTCAACCGATTTTAGGTATTTCGAATATACAAATTAAGTGGATGATATAAAAGTTCAATTCTTCCGAATTAAACGCAGTTTTAACTTGTTAGGATAAAGTTCTGTACTGACATATTTTTTTTATTTTTATATCAATTTTGCATATGAAAAATGGTTGTAGGAAAAGGGAAAAATTCGACTCAAAAAGATTCAAGTAATTTGGATTGTTATGTTGAAAATTGGTTGATATATTAATACAAAGTATATTAATACAGTCGCATTTCTGATATTCAGTTCGAAAAAAAAATAAAGTTTGAATTATAATTCTATAGATCGCGATTTTCCCGCAAATACCTTTTTAGCATATGTATGTACTTTGTAAATTAACCCTACCGACTTAATAGAAATCTGTCCTAAAAAATTAAATTGCAAACATTTAAAAATATTCACCACAATGTTTTTCAAAATTATTTATTGCATTGCAAACAAACAAGCAAAAAAGTCCTGTGGCAACCCAATGCAATGTGAATATCGTACACAGAATCGTATTGATAATTATGCTTTTATGAACATTAAATAATTTTTCTGTATTGTTGCGGTTTTTGTGGTTTACAGGAGAGGAATTTGTCTGCCTCACTCTCTCTGTGCGTGGGGTTATTTGGTTGTAGGAGTTTATAAGCCACTAATATCTGCATTACAGCCAGACAGACATTTTCATCTTGAATTATGAACCTATCAACAAAATGCATTGTGTGTGTTGTATCATAGTGTCATAATCTCTTGTATCAACAGACACACACACACACATATCTATGCACATAGTGCATACATATTTATATGTATGGATTATATGCAAATTTGTGCAAACACTCTCTACTGTTCATTTGTAGACGACTAAATAAATTCATATCCACAAGTTACAGATAAAACACCGAACACACACAGACACCACTACTTACATGTGCAGATGTTTGTTTGTTTATATGTCTGATATTTGTAATTCATTTTATATTCCCTTGTGCTCGGCTGCTCCCCCTTTTGCGTCTCTCTTCTTATGAAATTTGTTGCTCCCCAATCCTCCATACCAGTGGGTATGAGTTAAACTGTTCGTGTTGCACTTGTTAAGCCACTCACTGTTGTTGTTGCTGTTGCCGTTCATTCGTCGTTTATACAATTTATATATTTGTTGTTCATTACCATGATGTTGTTGCTGTTATTGTTGTCGTTGTTGTTATTACTAAACAGTTCACAGTTCGTTAAATGTAAAACACGAAGTTCATTTGAATATCAACTGAATGAATGGATGATTGTACCGAGCGCGCTACTTCAATGGCAGTTGGTTGGATGGTTGGCCGAGGGAGATATGGGATAATGCCTTGTTGAAGATAGATAATATTTGGGTGCGAGAGATTCTATGGAATGATTTTACAAATTTTTAAATGTGGTTTCGGTATATAAAATGATATTGAAAAAACTATAAAAGAAGAAATTTATAGTAAATTACACTTCATACGACAAAATAATGATTTTTGCAAATAGTTAAGAGATCATTGAACTCATTTTGCTTGTTTGATTGCAAAGTGACAATTGCCTGTATATTACAAGTTATATTCACACAAATGTATACGATTTTCTCACTGTAGAATATATTACGATAAAATTTAAATTAAAGTTTGGAATATGGCTAATATTTTTCCTTTATGGTATCCATTATTAGAAGTTTAAAGAAAATACAAATATAGACATCAATGGATTTTTTTTCGAGGTATAAAATTTGAAATCGAATTAATGAAAGTTATATTAGGTTGGGGAAAAGGAAAATAAAATATTCACCGTTCTGTTGTATGATATGTAGCCATTTTAAAGGTAACTTCATAATGCCTCTCTCATAGAGGTCCGGCTCTCTATTAGCAAAAAACTCTAGTAGTCGATTTTCACAATCCTCCCTAGTTATCACTTTGTAACTCGCAACTAAAATATCACTAAAGCCATATGCCGAAAAATAATGTCTTAAAATTTGACAGTAGACTTTTGACAGATGCTACTTGACAGAAGCAGAATTTTATGTCATTTAACAACTAGTTGGAAATTTATAACGATAACGCTTTTAAAAACGTATGTATGGGATATATAAGGGCGACATCAAGTGACCTCTATTTTATATTCCTTATAGTAACTAACTAACGGTCCCTTGCCCGTCTTCATAAGCGATTTCGACTATATATGGTTTAAAGTAACAATTTTTTAACGTAGGTCTCCTTGTTTAACGTAGGTCCCCTTGTTTACCGACCGATTTTAGGCCTTTCTAATGCCCACCTCATGATACATGAAATACAAAATTCGAGGCGTTGGTTTTCTTATTCCTTCTTCATGTTTTATTTGAAATTAGAGACGTTCTATGAAGTTTTATTGAATTAGCTAAATTTATTTAT